AGAACAAAAACGGTTTAAAACTGATATTGAAAAAGCAAAACAAGGTTATTGGTCTAAAATTAGTAAATCAATGAAACTACGAACGATACAGAAAAAAAACCTCAACAACCAATCCCTTATTTAATTGATAAAAATAACAAAAATCTTGTGAAAAAACATGAGGGATAGCTCAGGAATTTATAGATGAATTTTTCTCCGATAATTCTCTTATTGATAACACGAATAACAACAGTAGCCAAGATTTAAATACCAATGTAAAAATAGATGAATTTATCGCTAGTGTAGAAATGAATAATATTCTTAAATAATGTCACCTAAAAAAGCGGCTGATTTCTTAGGAATACAAACAATAATGATACAACAAGCGGGCGATTTATTTCATTCTATCCTCTTGAAATTATTTATTACCGTAGTAACAACAGCATATTATCCACAGACATGGAGAGTTATAAAAATGTCAGCATTCAAAAAGAAAAGACAAAATTTTTCATATATAGCCAAAACTTCTGCTCAATTAGTTTAATATCTTCATTTGCAAGAATTTTAGAAAAAAGCATAAGCCAAAAATTAATTGCAGAATGTGAGAAGTTGAACATTTTTCATGACAATCAGTTTGGATTTATAAAAGGGTTAGGCGCAGAGGATGCTCAGCTGTTTTGGGCTCATTAGATAGCAAAAGGCATTAACAAAAACCAAGTTATATCAGCAGTATTCCTCGATATTAGTAAAGCATTTAATATTATGGATCCAAATCTGTTATTGACTAAACTAAAAGATTTGGGTATATCGCCGACTTTCGTCAATTTTATTAGATCCTTTTGCGAGCCACGACAAGCTTATATTTCTATTGAAAATGACCTTACATCAAAAGTTAAACTATCGAGTTACGGGATTCCACAAGGAAGCTCATTATCGCCAGTCCTATTTAATATTTACATTAGATCAATTTTTAGAACTTCGTCGAATAACACTATACTATTTGGCTATGCTGATGATCTGACAGTTACTGTGTCGGGAAATAAAAGCCGATATAATGTAATGAGATTAAGATCATTCATCAATAAAATTGAAAATGCATTAAGAGAAATAAAATTGGAGATCCAAATTGATAAAACACATCTGTTGTTTTTTTCTTGTTTTTTTTTAGGTGCATATTTTGCAGAAATTCGAGCTCTATTGATGGCTATCGAATATGTGAAAAGCTCATTATCATTTGTTCCACAACGATCGAGCCAAATCTAGGTTGACACAGATTGTGATCGCTGATATCACAAATTTGGCTGAAATTTATACCATATGTATAACACGAGCAAGCTTTTTTGAGTCTACGCGCGTTGAAAGGCGTTAGTCTGAATGGGTAACGCGTTCTGAGTGAAAATGAACGTGTTTCGACGCATTAGTGTACTATAAACGTATAGAAACGCGTTTAAATACAACGCGTTCTGATGCATTAGAGAAAACGCAATAAAATGCGTTAAGGTGCGTTCATTACCAGCGCGTTACTTATCAACTCGTTCAGCAGGACCATCATTTGGTAATCTAACGCGTTTTTATGCGTTAGTTTCCGCTGCGTTTAATTTCTTTTCAAAGGGCATCATAAAAGATGAAGGAAAAAAACCGTTTGACTTTAAAATCTTCTTTTGAGATAGAATAACCGAAACAGAACGAAAAAAATATGAAAAAAGAAAATAACAATACGACCTGTATTGGCAAATTTATTCCCGTTAGCTCATCTGAGGACGCCGTTGTTGTCACCAATTTGGAATTATAATGTCACAATCAAGATATTTGGCTTTATGTACAATTTTGGATTGCATTTCTTTACCTATCGAAAACGTTTACATAAGAATCTAACGATTTTTTTTAATGGAAAAATATTTCATAGTGTCCTCTACAAAATGGGAGCTAGGTGACCTCTTTATCTCTTGTGGTTTAGGCGTGGCATCGGATATCCTCGAAGCTCTATAATGGACATTTCTTCAGTCGTGGTAATCTTGAAAATGCATGGAAACATAGGTAATCGACCACGCTGAGTTCTGTGGCAATGTTTCCTTTTCGGAAAAAGTTTAAACCCCTAGTCAAAACCTAAATTAGGTGAAATATCCGACTTTTGCCCATTTTTGCGTAAAATTAGAAAACTCATAATCAGGGCTGCCAAACCTCCTGATTTAGCCATGAGTCTCCTGGTTTTTAGACTTTTCTCCTGGTTAAAAAATCTCCTGGTATCAGAAGCTGGTTTTGGAGATTTTCTCCTGGTTTCCGAATATTCTTTTTACCCCGACTTTTTAGTGACATTTTTTTATGTGATATTATATTATTATATCACATAGAAAAATTTAGCCATAATTAACGTATCAGAAGAAAATATCAATCGCATGCGGAAACGAAAATTCCAGTTTTCTTCGAAAAAAGACAACCAAAAAGCTTCCTGATTTCGATAAAAGTCTCCTGGATTTTCTTCTGATTTTAAGTAAAAATCGCCTGGTGAACTGCTGGTTTGGTAGATTTGGATTTGGCAGCCCTGCTCATAATACAGACAAAATCGATGCAAACGTACAACAAGAAATATGAGCAGAGCAGAAAAAGCTAATCACCAAACCAATTAAAAAAAATTTGAATTAAAGAAAAGATATACAACAAAAAAAACTAACTTTCCGGCAACAAAGCTGTACGAAGCTTTTCGGACGACCTTTACCTTTTCTCTTACCCAATGGTTCATAACACGTTTTGTCCGTCACCTGGTACATGTTGAATAAAATGCCTAATCCAACTGAATGTTTGCAAGTGTATTGCTTGAGGCCAATTGGACACATACACGATGTAAGTGGTGACACTAACCAACAAAATGTCACAAAATCATCAAATGATGCCCATTGACCAGATCGATACAAATCTAACCAAACTGACGTTGTTATTGTTGTCATATGATGGAACAACACAAAATATCAGACCGATTTGTACTTATTGGCCATTTGTAAGCATGCAGCTCCGTATTAGGAGATATACTTGTAGCAGCAGCAAATGGTGATGAAATACTTACCTCCGACCAACCCGTTAACATTTGTTCCATTTTTGGTAGAAACGCCGATAAATGTAACTTATTACGGAGTGTATATTATTGTTTTATAATGGCATTCATCGATGGTTTACCAAACGCAGCACCCTCGTACCTAAATGACAGCAACTGGTAGTCTTAAGCATACACTTTGGTTTCGTTTTTCTTACCAGTAGGATAATTTTGTTATCTATTGATGAACGAAGTAATCGGAAAATTTCTTCATAGTTGGAGTGACATTCCATTTTTGTATTAGTAAAACAATACCACGATTGAACACATCATCTGAACAAGAAAGTTGAACGACATGAATATTCGCATCAATACTTACCCACTGTTCTTTTGTGACTAAATTACGATGCAGTCTGCATTTTTGGATCATGTGAATCCAGCACATCATACGACGACTGTGTGGAAACACCGTCTGCTGAGAACTTGTGATACCTAAATAATAAACGGAATATGTGAAGATAAAAGATAAAAAAAGTTGTGGCATACCTAGCGCTCCATCCGCCATCATGTGATTAATTAAACATGGCTCACTGAATTCTTGCACAGCTAACGCATTAATTGATGTAAATAATTGGTTATAACATTTGACATTCTCATCATGAGAAATTAATGCTACACCAAACGGCTTGAAATGACGATTGGCATCGGTTGATCCAAAAACCAAAAGTGGCAATTCATTCCACGTAATTTTGTATGTTGCATCAACTAGCGGATATGTTGTGAGCCGAATTTGTTAAAATAATTGTTTTGCCGTAAAAAAAACAAAAATACAATTAATGTCACCGACCGTACAAAAATGTACAAATGCGCAATATGGCTGCTTATCATCATTATGTTGAATATACCAGTTTCGTAAATTGAAAACTGAAAAAATCTCTGGCCTATCCTTTCGACGTTCGTACGATACTAAATTAATTAACTGTGTTTCCGTTATTGGAACATTTGGATGATCTTGAACTAATGATGACTTAATTTTTGTTTGTGATAATCCATATTTAACATATTTTGACACAGATTTCCGATGGGCGATGGTAAACGTGTTGTAGGATTGTGTTCTTCTTGTTCGTGTTCATGTTCATTTCTGGACATGATCGTCACTGATTGCGGATTACTGTCCGACACGATTATCTGAATTTCAAAAGAACAAAACGGATACTTTCTATACTCACTGCATTTGAACCAATATTTTGTATGACTTTTTAAATCTGATCGACGATATTGGCAAACATTAAACTGCAATTTTTTTTATTCTTTTGCTTCAGAATGTAGAAGAAATATATACAGAAATATTTGTTAATTTCTTCCTGTATAGTCGAACAAAATCTCTCTGGGAATTTGTTTATGAAGTTTTTTTCTGTAATCGCTTTAGTAACCAACCATAGCTCAATTGCTATCGGCATAGAATTTGGATTATGAGAAGTGTTTATAGTATAAAGTATATTTCTTCCATAGACTGGGAGATATGGTGATGGTTACTTTATACATGTTCTCAAGAAAACAATTAAATAACGACAAACAACATTATATAGAAGATATTCAGGATAAAACAGAGAATATGAAGTGGGTTTATGTTGTTCCCTAAATATATTAAGATCTTTTCATTTACTTTTGTTTTTAAATTCTGTAAATATTAAAGATTTAGAAAATATCATATGTGGTGTTGATCCATAAATGAGTTTGACTATAGTCAAACATCGTCACTTGTTATTAATGATATTGCGCAACGACTTCAATTTATTGACAATACAATCATCTTATTGTCCATATTTTTTACTAAAAAAATTGTGATCAAATTTAAAATTTTCATGACGTTTTCTTATAGCTTCGGCTCATTGATAAAGGTATTCAATGCAAATTTTTCTCTTATTGTGACTTTTACTGATAACTTTTGTTTTTGTACATTTATGAATAAAATACACTGAATGTTGCCTTATTATGTTTTTGCTAATAATATTAATGTTTTCTTATTTTTCTTATTCAAAAATTTGACAGCTTCTGGCCAATCGTGTACCATGTGAAAAACATTCTCATTGTGCTTTATATCAATGGTATGAAATAAGAATAATTCTTTAAAAAAATATAAACTTGGTTTATTTCGGACAGCTAACATGAGGCTGGTTTTCCCATCGTGTGTTTGTGCACCAACTAGGTTTGTTAAATGCATTTTGCCGTGCGGATAATTTTTGTAGAATGTTTTAACAATTTTCCAACACTCTTTACGTTTATATTCCACAATCAAGTGTAAAACGTGTTTTCCAGCATCATTTGGTAGATCCAATCGTGCACCAGCTTTCATCAAAATCTTTAAACATTTTGGTTTATTCATCATAACTGCATAGTGTGCCGCTGTATGCCCGGTCAAACTCTGAATATCTAAATTACATTCTCTCTTTTTAAGTAGAGATTTGAGAACCGCTGTTTCTGCGGATGCTAGACATTCCATGAGTGGTGAGCGATTTTCATTGTCTGTTTCATTAATATTAACGCCACGATTTAACAGAAATAATGCACCATCATACCAATCAGTTTCAGCAGCTAAGTGTAGTAATTTTCGACCCGTTTCTCTTTCACCATAATCGAATATTTTACTGATCGGTGTTATTCGAGCTAATATATCTAAAACATTTTTGGATTTAATTCGAAAACCATTTATTATATTAAAATCTTCAATTATATTTTGAGTTTTAGTTGATTTCCCTATACAATCATGAATAATTTTTGTTGTATATTTTAACTGATCAGCATCTAAATAAAGTCAAAACTTAACAATACGTACGGGCTAATCTTTCAAAAAGGTAAACCTGCTAAATCACCAACGTGAACGAACATTGAATTCAATGAATTTCTATCGATATCTTTCTTCTCCTTTTTTGTTGTATAAGACTCAATATGTTCTACTTGTTCTTGGACATCACCTTTTTCATTAAGGTTCAATTCAATTGTTGATAATACGAGATTTTCATTTTTAGCTATTTCATGGATAGACGACTTTTTTTCGTTTTGAATTGAATTCGAAGTTGTAATACTTTGATCAGAACTGTATTTGCTTTGTTGTTGATCACCTCCACCTCCTGTTTCTTCTTTATCATCTCTATCTATTAAATCTTTATTTTGACCACTGAATTTTGATTGCTCTTCATTTTGTGTTGGATAAAAGCTCAATGTTGAACTCTGAGTATCTGAAAGAATTAGAGCTTTCGAGTGCTAACGAATCGTATTTTACTGTTACAAATTTACAGATAATTTTATAGAAAAAACCTTCTTCTAAATTACCGTTTTCTGAACTTGATTTCACTAAACGACCGCTTTCATCTGATTTCGTAATAGTGACTTGTCGAATGTTTTTGAATATATTCTCATGGGAGCTATCGTCTGCATTGATCAATTGAATTGTTGCCATACTCACGCCATAGTCTTAAACAGCATGAATATTATTCAAAATGTTATACGTAAGACTATTGTAAAATAATGTCGCCCTTTTCGCGCCGTGTATGTACAACTATATGAAGTGCTTATTCTAAAGTAGAAATATTCAGTTAAATCAGATAAAATAACCATATCTGTCATGTACGTGATGATCCGATGACTCAGAATTATGCAATGTATTTGAGCTGAAAGTCTCCTATTGAATCTTCTACATAGGTTTGTCTCTGTATTTTATGTGAATGATTTAGCGTTCAATCATTTCATCTCTTGGACTTTTGTATTTCTTGATGGAATGCAGTTGAATCTTTTTAGATGACGCAAATGCTACTAAATTTCAGGATGAATAGAAATGATGCACGAGTGATAGCACAAAGTCCTTTGTTTTGGTATCATAAGGGTGAAGATAAGATAAATGGTAAGACACTATGACTTACCAACCCCTATCTTGTTCTTGCAAGAAAGAAGAGAGAATTTTATCTAAAATTTTGATGATATTTTAGCAGTATCTATTCGTAACTTGAGTCAAAAATAATTCTAAAAGTTTCAGATTTAACTGTTGTTTCCTTTCTGAAATATTAGACACCTAGAATCAAAAAACTTTATCATTTTCGATTTTTATATATATATGGTTCGATATTCAACGAAAACTGTAAAATGGTCGTAGTTAGACTAGCACGTTTTCACTTAATACATTATTTTATTACAACGAACACCTTTTTGAAAGACAGATAGAAGCGTCAATGGTGATTTTTTCATTTTACAATTGATTGATTGATTGTATCTTATCTTCACCTGCCATAAGTATGCGTGATCGATGAACTTCTGGCATAATTTATCTCAAAAATGGATGTGGTAATTCTAGTACTTAAATACTTGAATTTCTTTATAACTACCGTTTTACAATATCAGTAGGAACTTTTAATATACACTCGATATAATAAAATTGCGACATTGAGAAACGACTAGACTGCTGATGAATAGTACAAATCAAAATAAAAGTTGACATCAATAGCTAATGTATATTTTTAAACGTTTCTTGTTCTCGCTTTTAGTCGGAGTTATGAGTTATGTACATTTTTTTTTCTTTCTTCATATCCAAAATTTAATGAAAAACGAAAAAAAGACATAGGAATTTTAACAAAAAAAAATCACTCAATATTCTACGTTTATAAAATAAATTGATAAACTTTATCTCTAGTCTATAAAAACAACAAAATTTTTATTTATAATCATAATCAGACTAATGTTTCTAGACAAGATTTTCCCTGATTTCCGTTTGCCACATTACTATCATCGGATATCAATGAATTGATTCCACTATCATCATCAGCTTCTTTCGTTATTTTTAAATCATCTCGTGAATATAAGTTATGTGAATCCACTATTGTTGCACCGACTGAATTATTAAGATGATCATTAGAAATTGTGTCATAGTTTATTTGTTGATGAGTGTCATCAATAGTGTTAGATTGATTATTATAAAAACAATTGTAATTGGGTGTTATTGAATAGACATGCATATTACTGTTGTTATTATAATTAGATGATTGAGTTTCGTATTCAAGATATTTCAATTCGTCAATTTTTTTCCCAATAATAATGTCACTTTCACGTAGACATAAGTCTAAATCATGCATTTCTTTACACTGTAGTCTTGTTACTTCACGACTACGATAAATAGAATTTTTCAATGTGTTAACATCAGATGGTGTATCCGAACTATTTGTTGGAGTACTATTTGTTGTGGTGATTGTACCATAAGTCGAACTATTTAATGTTAATGGTAACGTATCATAAGTATTGTCTTGTTGATCGAATAAAACACTGTTTAATTCATTTGATATTGCTTGTTCAACATCATAAAATAGATTCGATTGTTCATTAATTCGATCTTGTAAACGTAAAATTTCATTACATAATTGGGTAGTGGCATACAATTGTTGTTTATCATGAATATTTGAAAATAAAAGTGATATATCTTGAGGATTTATTGTATTATCTATCGCTATGTCATTCTGACGTTTTGATGAGACGATTGCTGTTGGTAATTGTTCATACGATAAAACATTATATTGAGTTTGGTGTATTTTTTCATCTAAATAATTTAATAGTCGTTGTTGACGTTCCAATACATTGGAACATTCGTATAATTCATTAAGTTGTTGTTGAGATGAAATTGGAGACGACGACGATGATTGTGATAATTTTGGTAATGTTGGTTTTACTATGCCCAATGTGTAGGGTATTGATGTTTCAGAAAATGACGATGATATTGACTGATTTGTTGTCAATGTTTTTGTTGATAGAAATTTTTTTACTTTCGTACGAAATTTATTATCGATCGACGACTGTTTTGTAGTTATTAATTGTAAGATCGTTAACGGTAATTTATCAAATTGCCAATTTTTAAATGATTTCATTACTTTTAAACGTCCTTTTATTATACGTTGAGTTACTAACGAATCATTTATCGATGGTGTATTATCTTTAGACGATAATGATGAACTAACAATTTGAATACATTCGGCAATCGCAAAACCCGAAATACCATTATTATTCGTTAAAAGATCAGCTTGTTGTAATAAAGCATAGATCAAATCGTCAAATGTTGTCTTTTTTGTTATACCCGTTACCCATTTTCGTTTTCCTTGTACCCATACGGGAATTTCTAATGTTACTTCCTCATCTCCATTGAGTGATTTACTAATATTATTGTTCGTATTATTATGATTATTTGTCATTATTGATCTTTCTAAAATAGACAAAATAAGTTTAATAAGTAAAAATTGTAACTTATACGTGATAAAAGTATAGAAAAAAAAATGTCGTCAGAATACTAGTCTGTACGAATATGTAATTTTTACAACATATATGTTCTTAGTTTTTTTTCTTACATATTGTCAAAGTTTAAATGATGTGGGTATGTAAAATACATAACGAATTAAGATTGACTACGAAGAAATTACTATTAATTTTATATAATTCTACATAAACAGAACAATAGTTTCGTATTTTAATTTATGAATTTAAAACAATACTTTAACAACGATTAAACAGACACTGTTGAGTGATGATAAAATCGATGATGTCGTGATTTTTCTTCTTAACTTTTAACACTTGAATACACTTTTTCAATCAAGTTCTAATATTATACACGAAGAGTATCGAAAATCCAATCGATTATCAAGGACACTTTAAGTCTAAAGAGAATTTAAACACTATCTATCTTCGTTGTCGATTATCTCGTGAGAATATTATTAATTAGAACAATAAGAATTTTGACATATCCTTGATAACAAGGTAGATTGGGAGAAAAGAAAAAACCAATAACTTACATAGTTTCTCATCTCAGAAGAATTATTAACTAACTAAGTAAAAAGAAAATCTAAGAATAGTATCCATTGAGACAGAAATCGAACTAATTAAAGGTTATTCTCTCTACCATAAAAAAGTAACTAAAAATTGTAAAGCTCAACGGCAATGAAGCGATGATACTATTTATCTGGTGTATCAGAGACTAAAACAGATCACAATAAGCAATGGTAATTTGGGCTGTATTTACCAAAAAATGTTATCTAAACCACACTATTATGAACTATACTATTATTTCTTCAGTAATATAGAGAACAAATTGTGTCTGATTCAATGAGACTTTTTTTTTTTACATTGTCAATCATACTATCATAAAAGTGAAGAATTCTTTTGAAAAAACACACAGTACGAAAAAAGAAAGAAACTAGACAAAAGTGACAAATTACAATCTGTTTTTTCAAAACAATATTGAGTGATTGTAAAACGCGCTCTATGTGAATTTAGCAAAGAACTAAACCACTATGAAGTGCATATCAATAAAACATTGAAAAAATTAAGCAGAAAATTTAATGTTTTTTGCACATGCACATAAATGAAACGAATAAACTGAGAGATTTAACTATACCGATATGACAACCAAAAATTTGACTCCCATCAGGAAACTTTTTGTTACCTTATAACTAAGTATTATTAAATAACCTATAGTGTGAGGTAAACAATAGAGATGTTTCATCTAGATGAGACATGTTAGTAAATGCAAATAAAATGATTTTTGACTAAAAAAGAATGCGTGATATCATACCAGACGGTCTACATATATTATATTTGTTGGTTATGATGTAAGACGAGAGGTAGTATACCCATGTGGCAGTTCGATATGTATATTTTTCAAGTTGAAAGCCTATATGTAATCAGGTTACAGCATTATAGTATATACGAGAAGAAAAAAAAAGAGAATGGACAGATTTTCTTTCTTCTACCACTATTGGCAATACTAATCAAATCTGACAAACATCATTCTTCTTTTAACTCTGATCCTTCCAATAAATCTATAAAACATATGTGTAATAATAAATAATTTTCTAGTAATTTTTCAGTTAGTTCCATTGGCTTGATCTGTAGTACTTTCAGATTTGTTTATACAATGTTCACGTAATCATAGTGTATAAGCGAGAGAGAGAGAGAGAGAGAGAAATGTACAAAGCCATTTATACTGTACCTATGCATTACTGCTGATGTTCAGACAGTATGAGAAGTAATGATGAAAGGCTCGATGCATCTCGTATATACAATGGGATCATGTGTGTGTGTGTGTGTGTGTGTGTGTATGAAAGAGAGAGAGACAGACGAATATATCTTTACTTTATTTTGCCAATATTGATCGTTTGAACAATACATAGAGAATGTTTTTATTATGATTGATACGCGAATAGTAGAAATCATAACCTTCCGTTTACTAAAGATTAGTTCTTTTTCTCGTCGACAATGTTCAAAGAGTGTGAATGAACGTGGTGATCTGGACAATGGCGTATTGATGAATATGTACACCTTTTTGTTTCTATACATTGAACACGTATATGTTCTCTTTCTAGGTCACTATGGATTTCTCTCTCTTTCTCTTACAGTTTCACACCGTATATAGAATGAATGCATGAATGCATCCTATATAGCTAAAGTCATTCGTTTTTATCAAAGGTATATCAAAATTTTCAACACGTTCTACTTTCCTCCCCTCCTGTTTTCTCTTTCATATACTTCCTGAGGAAGATTGTATTAGCGTATAATACATACACACACAACAAACAAATTTCTTGTATATGTCAGACAAAAAAATTCTCATGTAGAAAAAAGCCACAAAAACGGAGTTTCCTTTCCTTTTTTTGTTTAAGTATTTTTAGTAACGATATATAAACTACTTAAATTTGACAAATTTTTCATTTTTCAATCTATTTAATTGTTTGTATAACGATTACGAAACATGTATATAATTGAAAAAATCTATATACTCAACGGTAGACATAAGTTTTGTAATTGTCTTAATACTTCTAGTGATTATCTAATAGTAAAAAATAAGATATATTCAATTTCATGCTACTATAAAACTACAAACTAAATAGCCACTTGAAAATTTTACTTCTTAAAATTAGACAAAGGTGACTGGCTGAAAGACATACTTATGTCAATTTCCATTTCATTAATTCTCTGATGTTTTTACTTCATATATGTCGGCTCAGTGATTACGCGTTGAAAGACATCTAATTACATCAAACTACTGACCAAATCGTAAAAAGTCTGTTTTGGTAAACTGAAAGAGAGTTACGAGAGCTTTTTAAATCATAATTTTCTACTTATTCGTCTAGATCGTTTATTTTTAGAACTGTCAGAAGATGCTCCTCTATCTTATTAAAACGGACTGATTATCTATTTATTGAACAAGGTCTTTCTAGTAAAGGTTTTTATCAGTATTCTAGATCTTTTTTTTCTGAAAATAACACACCTTTATTCTTTGTCTTCAAAGTCAAAAATAAAACTGTTCATATTGAAATGTAAATGCAAGTGACAGAGAAAGCGTTTAAAAGTAAAAGTCGACATACATACAGAAAATTATAATATATCAAGACCACGACTATGTGTATACAAATCGTATATAGTGGTCAAGAATAAAAACGGCAGTTGAAGAAGGAAAAGAAAATAGAGAAAGAGAAAGAGAAAGCGAGAAATGTTTCATGTGTTCATGAAGTTTTGAGTGTCATTTGTCAAAAAATCACGTATATCAAGCTGCGTAGAAAAACGTTGCATCTACGTACGCGTCAGTCAATAGGTGAAATAGAAGGTGTTCGGTAAAATGGAGGTGTTTTTCTTAAAAAAATGTGTATAAATATATGAGGAACGGAAACGAGAAGTGCATTGTTTCGATAACAGGAAATATCGAAAAGGAAATAATAACCAAAAGATTTTTTATTCGATAAAATAACTATGTAATTTGTCTTTCCTCACGAATTGTACACAATAATAAGCACGTTTATCGAGATTAATTTAATTTGAACAAAAAAAAATCTTCGTTTGAACGCAAAGCGGAAATGAGAAACAATGTATATGAATGTCAAATAGAAAATCTCAAACAAACTTAAAAATAAATTGTATTTTTTACATAAAATGAAATCTGAATATAGGTACTTCATATTCTCTATCTCGTCAAAATGTCACCATTACTTGTACAATCCTTGAGCTAACTTGTACAAATCCTTGCCACAAGAATGAGAAACATAATGAAAGGTCGTATTTGAAGGTTTTTCTATTCGTGAGATGCACATGATACCGGATGTGATGTTCACAAGTAAATAGCTCATTACATCCAAATATTGTACCATATTCAAGAAATGACCTTTTCACAAAACACGATGATGAGAAATGAAAAAAAATTATAACAATAACCATCTAGTAAAGCCAAACGATGTATCATATGACAGATAGCTTCAGCGCTCTTTTGAGAGCTATTAAAATCTGACTGATAGTCTAATCCACTTACCAGAGTAACAATGTCTTATCAACTTTTATCAAAAATCATCTTATCTCTCTCACATACAACGATTGAGTTGTTTTATATTAATTGGATTATTATCCTAAACGAGTAAAGAAAGAGGTCATGAATTTTGCTTGATCATCATACAAACTTATTATAAACATATCAATAATATCAATACATGTTATTTTCATCATTTTTTTTCTATCTCATTCCACATAAAGGACATCACAATAAACATTACACTAAGCATCGAAACTAATCGAATTTTATGATTGCATCAAATAAGCAAATATTATAACCTTATTTCAATTAAATAATGAAACTACCAAATTAAAGGTGTATATAACTTATTCTTTTTACGTTCGATAGAATGAGTAGAAGAAATGCAGTAACCCACCCGCAGTTGTAGCATATCAATATACATGTAACTATTACGAGAACAAAGAAAAAGAAAATTAAAAGTAATTCTATTTGCTCTATAGATTTGATCCGTGAGAAATTAAATAATGACATCACAGAACGGTATTTTATATCTGATAAAACTAGCATAGAATAATCCTTCAGTGATCGATACATTCAATTTCATTATCATATACTTTACATTTTAAGATGTCTTCATAAAAATTTTGTCCTTGTAGTATGCAAGTATTGTATATCCTCTTTTTGTTACTTATATGTACGGTTACAGTAGACATGGGAGGAAAAGTACCACTTATAGTCATGCTTCTTTCTGTCTTTTTTACATATATAACACGCTATACGTGATTGTATTACAAGAAAAAGAATTCTCTGACCAACTGTTCAAACGGGAATAATGACAGTATTAGAAAATTACGCAATATCAATCAACGTTCACATATTTTCTTTAAATGTGATATCCATACTCATATCAAATAATTTGTA